AGTGCTCCTCTACAGCACATCATATAGAGTACATTCTGTGCGATTGCTGTCTGAGTTAACATCAAGACTAAAGGATGGAATTCGCAACAGCGCTGGTAATTAGGTTTATTTACTGTTGCAAAGCTCAGTGCTTCCTTTTGAGATGAACAAAACAGAAAATCCGTTCTGATCAAAAGAAGTTTGGACGCTCCTGGAAAACCAAAGTAACACTAATCCCAGATGATCTAGTATGTACGTTACTCTTCCAAGCTCCGGGTGATAAATGCGCAAATCGTGCAAATGCAAGTCCCAGCGGCCTGCTAGTAAACTATAGTTCAAAGACTACCACTTCTAAGAGAAAAAGGAAAAGTTTAGAAACTGGAACTTTCAAACCTACACTTCCAAGTTCACCCAAGCGACAATATAAAGATAAAACGATTGATAAATGGGATAAGTCAAAGCATCAACGAACCCGCAAGAGCTTTGATACGACTACGTTCGAACAGTCGTGCGGATGAGTTCTCATCGTATTCCTCGTCATTCATTCCACCTCCACCACCGAGATCAGCGTTGTTCTGGGCGACACCGACGCCGTACGTCATCGCCGCAGCCGCCTGCAAATAGCAAAATTAGCTGCAGTAATGGAAGAAAAACATTGCAAAAATGCAGAATCCACGAGAAACAGGGTTGTAAACTGATACAACAATAGTACACATGAAAACCCTCCAATGAAGGAAATAAGGAAATTACGGGGCACAGAAGCGGAAGGTGCAGAGGGAGATAAATTTTGATCAAATGCTAATAGTAAACAAGGGTTTATTTATCAGCTTATTATTAGGAAAAAAAGATAGACAATTTTACCTGCAATAATTATCGAAAAATCATCAAAAAATTTTATAGTCGTCTCGTACCAAGAAGATTATCAAACAAGTCATAAAAGCATATGGCAACAGAACCATTTCAAAGAAAAAAAAATCAAGTGAAAGTCCCTGTAAACAGCCAAAAGAAAAAATTTTCTGTACAACACGTAGCCTTTCATCCCCTACGGTTCAAGAGTTTCTATTACATCAATTATTTCACGAAAATCTTTCTTGAAACTTTTCTTGAATTCAGCTAGCAGTTTTTTAATGCTAGCTGATTAAAGAAAGCAAATTATACTAAAGTCTAGAGTCAAGGCACTTCGAACAGTGTGAGTTTGGAGAAATCGATTTTGGATAGTTAGATATAAGAACACAAAAAACCCTTCAAAAGCTTACTAGTTCTACATTTTTGAAAACTCAAGTAACTTCAGTTTAGCGCTGAGAAACAAGAGTACGGATGTTTACTTAATTCCTGACTTGTAGTAAATGTGCATGAAAATGCAAATATATCGAATGTTTTTATAGGATAACGGAGGCGACGAGTAATGGGAGACGATTACGGGTGAAATAAAATGCTGCGCAGGATCGCATTCAAAGTAAACATTGGGATCATCGTAGAAGGAGTGTGGCCAGAGAAGACGTTTTCTGCCTTGGAAGGAAAAATGAAGCAGAAAAGAAAGAAAGAAGCTTTCATAACAACAAACTTCATATATAAGCTATCGAGCTTACTGACAACACAAGACTACAAGACTAGAGGATTAAGCAGCGCAATTTCTTACTTAGACTTTTAAGATAAATAAAAATAAGCAAAATTAGATACTAACAAATTCACAAAGTTCGTTTCTCTATAGATATGCCGAAGAGAAAAAGATGCAATAAATGCATGATGTATACTTTACGCAATTTTAATGGGGTATATAACAAATTTCCCTGCGCAGGAAATAGCATTCCAGACATTTTATTCATTCAGCAGACGGTGAGAAGCTGTATTGCCAACTTCTACAGCAATGTGACCGCAAAAACACTGGAGAAATGCCACCGTAAGAAAAAAAAAAGACCAATTCTTAGAATGTAGACAAATAAAAAACCTGCAAATATGGAGATGTGCGTTTATTAGAAATCTTC